GTGTCACTGATCTGATCTGGGAGCAGCAGGACCTCCGTGCACAAAGAAGCTGCACAATTGTCATTGAACAATTCATTCTTTGTGTGGCGTCACTGTCGAGCTGGAGAGGCGCAAAGAGCTCATCACTCCTCCTGTTGTTACGTCTCGAGAAGGTATTTGACACTGACACGAATGGAACTGCTACGCTAAGTTAAACACTTGAGGGATCTTGGGCACATTCTTTCAATTATTAATTTCCAACCTGCATGGAATGAATAGTGGTCGAATTTGTGGGATATTAAAACCATTTTCTATGAGTAAGAGCGTACCTCAAACGACTTTGGATGTGAGAGGGGCGTTGTCCTTGCTTTTAGTTAAAAGAGAAGTCAAGTTAAACATTTTCTTTACAATAATATGTTCTATGCGGCCCCATGAGTGAAAACACCAATTATATTTAATTCTGATTTGTACTGCTTTTGTAAAATATGAAATAAGCAACAAAATCCACCGAATTTTAGGCATCTCAGGGGGCGGCCATTTTGCCACTTGCTGTTGACTGAAAATGACGTCCGTTGCCTTTTTTTGTAAGCTTGCAAATGTCACATGAGCAAACTCGAAAAAGAGGTGAGCCGTGATTGGTCGCTAATTCATATGCACATTTCAGACTGTAGTAGTTTAAAAACGTGAGCTTAGACCCTTTTCAAATGTAAAATAGTTAGAAAATACTAATGTTAACATGAGCAAATTAGAAGCCGCGTATAATTCATACACGATAGTGTCATGGTTCGTGAATGCCAAAATGTTACACGTCGTGCGGGGTAAGAGCAAACCCTGTTAAGTGCACTTTGGTGGTAAATCATAAAAATGATTGATAAGATGCAGTGCAATCCACAAATATGTTTCAACAGCAAATGATTTAAAATCGTGGCAATTTGAGTTCCTTTTTTGAAGAAAAAAAAAATGTGCTTCTGCTCAGAACGCAGGATGTGGATGCATTTCACCACGTGCAACGTTAGCAATGAAAACATGAAGCCATGAGGCGCATGTGTTGAAATTCCCTGACAATTTAGATTGTGTTCTGCTTTCTACTTTTCACAAGCTTCACCCCCACTACCCTCTCAAAAAAAAAAAAAATGCTATCCAAAACAAACACATAATACCACAGGAAAAATTCATGCTCCGCCCACTTTGACTCACGCAATGTTTGCTTCCGTAAAGAGAATCTGGCCCAGTGAATTGATCGTTCTGGTGATGTCACGGGGAAGAGGACCAAGGTCAGTCAGACAATGGCCAGCCAAAAGAGACACACACACACAGAGACACGGAAACACACACACACACACAGGCAGCCGCCAGATGTGTGTGACATATCTGTGCTGAGCTGCACTGACTCATGAAGGTCTTGTGCAATCACGTTGGAAATGGCTGGAATGTTTCTCGGTTCAGTTTCAGAGAAACAGACGTGTCCTCAAATCCGTGCGGCGGTTTTCCCGGAATCGCCGGACATATTGTGTGTCCCCTTCCAAATGAAATTCAGCAAATTTATGAGTGCCTCACCTGAGTTGCGAGAAGGCGGCGGGGCCATTGAGGTGGTGTAGCCCCCGTTGGAGTGGTTGTCTTCCCCGAAGTCAAACAAAGGTTTGGGCTTGGGCGTGTATTCGCGTCTTGGCCGGGACTGGGCCTCAGTCATCCTGTTCAAAAACAATGTTTGCTTCCGTAAAGAGAATCTGGCCCAGTGAATTGATCGTTCTGGTGATGTCACGGGGAAGAGGACCAAGGTCAGTCAGACAATGGCCAGCCAAAAGAGACACACACACACAGAGACACAGAAACACACACACACACACAGGCACCCGCCAGATGTGTGTGACATATCTGTGCTGAGCTGCACTGACTCATGAAGGTCTTGTGCAATCACGTTGGAAATGGCTGGAATGTTTCTCGGTTCAGTTTCAGAGAAACAGACGTGTCCTCAAATCCGTGCGGCGGTTTTCCCGGAATCGCCGGACATATTGTGTGTCCCCTTCCAAATGAAATTCAGCAAATTTATGAGTGCCTCACCTGAGTTGCGAGAAGGCGGCGGGGCCATTGAGGTGGTGTAGCCCCCGTTGGAGTGGTTGTCTTCCCCGAAGTCAAACAAAGGTTTGGGCTTGGGCGTGTATTCGCGTCTTGGCCGGGACTGGGCCTCAGTCATCCTGTTCAAAAAGACGCGCGAGTCAATCACATGACCGCTATAGCTCGTTTTGAAGTGATCCTTTTAATTTTACAATTATATCAATGCGTCCATGTTGTGCCTTCATCGCAGTACCGTGCGATGCCACAACATGCCGGACGGCGCTGAGTTCTACTAGAAAAGAGCGCAAGAAAAGAAGAAGAGGCAGAGAAGGTCCCCCACAAGGCTCGAGTTATCATTGTCGTTCCCACAGATGGAATATATGCCTGTAGGTTTTTTTTTTGTCTGGTCTGTTTGAATGTCTTGCTGCTCCGTGTCCTCTTTTCGGCTGTTTGAAGGTGTATAATGACAGCAACATCTGTGCTAATTTCCATGAGCTCATCTCTAGCTTTTACTCTCACATGCTAGCATAAAGCCAGCAGACTTTCATTTCGCGGTCTGGTTGAACATTTAGCTATTTAAAAATGCAAAATTTAATTGTTGTTTGTCTTACATAGGAGTTTTACAGGTGAACTTCAACTAGGATTTGAGTAACAGCTTGAGGCAAGTATGCTCCGCATCTTATGTGGAGAACTTTGTGGGTGGTGACATTGCGAGAGCGGGCGCTCAGGATTGCTTTAACAATGTTCTCCTTAATGATGGAATGTGTTTAAAAATGTGCGCTATAATTTATCCCCCCCCCCCAAAAGTCGTATTTCATACAGCGAG